GCTTCCCCAGTCTCACAGCAACCGAGGCCTGCTTATGAGATGCATGACGTCAGCTTCCTACATCTGCCCATCCAAAAAATTATCCGCCGCCAAGTGGCTCCATATTGGAACTGGTCTTTCGACAAATCTCGGGTGGCGTCGTCTGCGCCTAAACCTCAGTGTCTTGAGCCTTATGGCCCAAATGGGTTTTGTGAGGCTACCCTTTGTTGCTGTGAAGAGAAATCCGGAGTCAGAACCACCTTTTTGGGGGTGCCCTCGAGAAAGGCACGCCCAAATGGCACACCAGTGCTTCAAAGACCTGATGTAGAAATGAACTGTGGCGAGCAATTCCGGATCCCAGTGGATCCCAGGAATGCGCTTGGCCAAGTAACCCTTGCATTTTGGTAGGCCCATGGTTACCACATACCTGGTGGAAATGGAATCACTGGGCAAGGGCGTTCTGGAAACCTGGGAAACATATGCATTTTGGTGAGGTGGCATGGTTACAAAACCAGTGTAATGCAATCACTGGGCAAGGGTGTTCTGGAAACAACCTTAGTGGAGATGCAGCTTTGGTCTCGAAGACATTTGCGCTTGACAATTCCTACAGACAACACAAACGACATATGCAAACTCTTGCATGTGTTGTGAATGAATATGCATATACCGTGTACCCACAATCATATGAGCTCTCATATGGGTATAGTTATGCGACACACACACACACACACATGTATGTGTAGTTGAATGTGGCACCTTTTTAGCCCGGATGTCAATGCGTGGATAACACATCCATGTGAAAGTAAACTTCCACATGCAAACTCACTCACGGGAGCCCTAGGAGATGGGCTCACTTCCATTTGTGGAGAAGGAATTGGAAACGGCGCATGAGCCGACGAGCCTCTTGACCCTGTTTTGGGTTGGTTTCGAGGAAACCAGAGGGAGCAATAGAAACCTATACTGTTTTGTTTTGAGGGGGAGTTCTTCTTGTGGGTCTCCCCTCATTTATTGAAGACCACTATATCTTGGTCCATGTGTTTTTGGGTTTAAATGAAAACAACTCCAGTGTCTGACTTTGATCCCCGCCCAAAGGACCTGGAAACAAAAGGTGATCACCTGTTGGCAACCTCGATTCTTTATGCTTGCCAAAAGGGCTATAGTATGTAGTCGACCCCCAAAAATGGGGACCAACATGGACCTAGAAATGAATCAGCCCCAGTTTAAGAATAGGAGGTGTCCCTGGTTTTGTGGGGGTTCATCACCATTGGAGGGGCCCCCACCCCCCTTTTGAATAGGATGGGCTTATTAATCCGTGCACGGTCAACATTAGGACCTTGTGAACCAAAGAACAAGAAGGTCCCAAGGTCGGTTTTGGGAAAAAAGTACATTTCGTCGAATACCCCCCCAAGAAGCTTTGATTCACCAACATGGACCAACCTGGACCTTGGTCCCCCGGAAAAACCCACACCGCTTCCCTCTGACCGCTCCCCCGCTCACCGTTTCCGCGCTGAGCGCAGGGCATCGCAGGGAGGTGTCGGAGCCCAGGCAGCTGCTGCCCAAACTTTCGCAGGAGCACAGCACCTGGACGCCGCGTTCCTTTCTGGGACGCCGAGCCGCTGGAAAGGGCTTGAGGTTCTGTGGATCTCTTGTTCTTGAGCGGGTACACTAGAACAATTAAATAAAGTTATAACTGAATGAACTGTGAAACATCAATGTTTGCAACAAGCACTTCCTGTCTGTTTGTTTTAGTATTTGATGCTATTTTGCGTTTGGTTTTGTGGGTCACAAAAGGGTCCCTTTTAATAGACATACATCCCGCCTTGAACAACCATCAAATTGCGCAATATTGCCCGACATTCCCTGTGAACGGCTCTTTGATAATTCCAGCCCAAAGGCAAAGAGCGCGCTGACTAGCTCAAAATCCCTGCGCCGTGGTAACCCCCGGCACCTCATTGCCTCAAGTTCTTCTGCCCATGACCGCTCGTTTTCGGTGACTTAGCACATCTGGATCTGTCTGCATCCAACATGGATGCGACTTCCCTTCAGTAAGTGGATCCGAGGAAAGCATTTCCGTAGGCAACCCTTCGCCTTTCTTTCAACTGTGGGCCTTTAAAGGAAGGGGGACCCCTTGGGTTCCTACAAAAACCAAAACTTCTCGCTTTTAAACCACCTACAAGGGAAATGGAATCACTGCCTGAAAGAAGGCCACAACCGTCCCACTTGCCTGGCAGGTCCCGCAGTGCGCCACTCCGCCCGCGCAGTCGGAGGCATCCTCTCGACAATGCGAGAGGCTGGGTGTTTGTCTCAAATTTGGAGCGTCCCTCGGGTCCGTCCCGACCAAAAAGGACATGTTGACCGAACCTCATGTCAACAAGCATGTTTCTTCAGCAGACTATGCTCCAACGTTTAGTTATGAAAGCTTCACACGTACAATCCCAAAACCCAAAACCTACCTTTTGGGAATCTTGCCGACCCCCCCACCCCACCCTCCCCCCCCAAAAAAAAACATTTTTTTACGGAATTAATAAGTTCCTTTGACCCAACCTCTGGGATTCGTTTGCCAATCGGAGGGGCCATACTCTGCACCAGCCCTGGAATGATGATTCCCTTGTAAATACCAACAAACAGTGGTTTCCCATGGCTTCAAAGTGGTGCGAAATGGATTTCGTCTGTCCGCTGATACCCCGCCAGATCCATCTGTGCCCGCCGTCCCCGGGTCCCTGCCTGCATGGGTCCCACTTGAGGCGCTTGGCAGGTGTTCCCCAGCGCGGTCCATGGGAGCAACGCCACCACGACCTTCGCGGCCCAAAAGCCGCGCGCCTCGACGCGTCGAGGCCGTGGCTCGTGGCTCTTTTTGTTAGGAGTTGGCCCCAAAATGGCTGTGGGTCAAACATGCATAGCCAAAATGGAACCCTGGTAGATGGAACGAAGGACTAAAACCTGCGGTCCCCTTCAACCTGTGGACCCATACCCAAATGAGGGAAAACCACATAAAGGGCCCCGCCTGGTTTTTTTCCCCAACAGCTGCAAGCTTTGGGGTCTCAGCCCAGATAGGCTCCGGGGTGGTCCGTGGCGACCCTGAGGTAAGGTTCCACGAGGGTTCCACCGGGGTTCCACCAGGGTTCCACGAGGGTTCCACGAGGTTTTGCGAGGGCTGCGGGGCGGCGGGGCGGCGCGAGCACCAAAAAGAGCACCACATGCTGTTGGGGATGTCACCAGGAGCTTCTTAGAGAAAAAACACGCCAGAGTTTCAGCAGGTGGAAGTTGGCATTAAGTGTATCCCAATTTGACGAGGATTCCATCTTTCCCCCTAATCAATTCGCCCCAAAATTGCATGGGGTCAACATGGCTCACCAAAATCCGGCATCAAAGAGCCCGGCAGCATGCAAGGATCGACACTGGTGCTCAACCAATAATTATGTTGTAACCATGTGTCCTTTTGGAAAAATAGATGGCCCCGGTAAACGGAATAACACCCCTATAGTTGTCCCTGTGGGCAAAACCACACGCCACCAAATGGGTCACTAACCCATCTCGCCCAACATCTATCGCCGAGGGGCGTTCATTCCGCGCGCCATGCATGCCCTAATGGCCGGCTTGGCGCTGCGTGCAAGGCATCGCCCTGCTACAACACATCTTCAGCCGAAATGGCTGGCGCCGACACGGTGCGCACGCTGACCTGAAAGATGATTTAGAGCATTTAGAGACCTTTTCGGGGTTGAGCTATGGATTTGTACCCTTTCAAAAGAAAGCATCGATCGGAGAGTGGAAGATCAGTTTCCTCTTCGGAACTGTCAAATCTAACTTGAACGAGGACTAGCCAACAAATTGAACATAGCTCTGACAAACATCCGGCACTCCCTTCCAGAAGGTATCTGGACGGTACCTGGAAGGTGCCGTGGCAACTGACCAGTTAACACCCATTGAACCGGGCCACACCAAATGTAGGAACCAGGTCCATCCCCACAAGAAAATGATTGGAAAGAGGACCAACTCCTTACATAAACAGCCACCAGGGTTGAGGCTTGCCATTGAACAGCCAGCCAACTTAATTGGCCAAGGGCTCAAAAGGCGCGCTCTGACTTTCGCAATAGGCTCACCTCGCATGCAGCAAGAGACATGCGACACCTACCCTCTGCATGATCTCAGTCACATCCTTCAATCTGTCACAGGTGGGACAGGGAATGCTCTAACCTAGCCTGAAGCTTCTTGGAATCATCACATCTTGCAATATTCATCCCCTGAATGCTACTGGATCTGGATGTTGGGCAACCCCCGTTGCCTAGCGGAAATTGGGTATTAATGCCCGTGAATACTGGGCGTTGCTTATGCGTGCCGTCAAAACTCCTCACGCCTAAGCTTCCTCGCCCAAAATGGGTGGGGCAAGGCACCACCTCAAAAATGATGGACCGCCAGCATTTAAACCCCTGCTTGACCTTGATCGGTGTCACGATAAAGCGGCACTGGGGCGATCCTGCGCTATGTGGATAGGCCCCAAACAAGTCTGAACTGTTGTTCTCTAAACTTGTCGAACCAAAAAACATATCAAGCCGAAACAAGTCTGAACTTTTGTTTGCCTCTCAACTTGTCCAACCCAAAAAATGACTCAAGCCCAGCAACTGGAGAAATGAGTTTTGGGCTTCATCCATGGGGGGTACCCGCCTAAGAAAAAAACGGCGCCACAGATCCGGGTCCGGCAACCAGCCTGCGCATCTTCACCTCGACTGCCGAGTGCCACCGGGGCGCGCATACAAAGGCGAGCACGGAGACACAAGCAAACCCAAACCAACACAAGTACAAGCACACACACACAGAAAAACCACAGAAAAACAAACACAAACACATGAACACAAAACACACACACACACACAAAACAACGAAACCAACAACTAAGCGTACACATCACACATACTTTCTCAAAGAGCAAACTCAACATGTCCTTGTCCTTTGTCTTCTCAACTTGGGTGGATTCCTTTCGGCATTTTCTCCAAACCACCAGCAAAAATGAGAAGAAGGCCACCTCAAAGCTCGCCGGCGCCTTCCACGACCTCGCCCTCCTGCATGTGGATGCGCACGGCCTGCGGCGGTCGACTGACGGGGCGTTCTTCCAAAAAAAAAACGCTGCGCCAATTGAGCGCCATGGAGGGCCGAAAACGGCTTTTCAGACTGCACTTGCGTTAGTTTCAAGAATCGAACCTATTTGAGGGCCATGTGTGCCATAGTCAAAACTGTCTAGAATTATGCCCCATGGCCATGGTTCACTCAAAAGGAACCATTATATAATGTACCCTGTTACCCCCAAGCCGGTCCCCAACCCGGCGAACAGGGTTCCCTATCTCCCCCAGGGTCATGTGTGATACCACACAAAAGATACAGACACATAAGGCCGTGCGGTCGATGCCAGGCGCCCGGCCTGCGTCTTGTGGACACCTCCGGGATCCCGGTAGATCAGGATGTTGTGCAGCCCGCAGCCTGAACGGAAAACCCCATGGCAAATGCATTCGGCGCGGTTGGGAATCAGAACCCCAATGGACTTTGGTGGAGCAGGGGAGCCAAAAGTGGCGAGGCCAAGGATTTTCGAGCACGTGACAGGAACCCAAACTGAAGGTAGGAAATCCTTGCCATCTCACACCATGGGTAATGAGAGGCATTAGGGGCCCCGGAAAGGTTGTCAGAAGAAGGTTTGAACAACTTTTTTGTGGGGCCTTCTGTAGAAGAAAGGGAATTGGCTAGTCAGTGCCCCGCATCCCCTTCTCCCCACACGCTGAGAGAAACAGTTGTTCCATCCAAAAATTGGGCGATCCATGGGTTTTGGATGCTACCCACTTGAGAAGGTCCTGTTTTGGGAACGAACCCATCCTTTTTGTTTTTTTCCCCAACAGCTGAAAGCTAAGGGGTCTCAGCCCAGATAGGCTCCGGTGAGGTTCCACGAGGGTTCCACCAGGGTTCCACCAAGGTTCCACCAGGGTTCCACCAGGTTCTGCAAGGGCTGCGGGGTGGTCCGGGGCGGGTTCACCAAGGTTCCACCAGGGTTCCACCAGGTTCTGCAAGGGCTGCGGGGTGGTCCGGGGCGGGTTCCACCACTGTTCCACCAGGGTTCCACCAAGGTTTTACCATTCTTTCACGATATTCTGCAAGGGCTGCGGGGTGGTGCAGGGCGGGTTTTATCAGGGTTCCACCAGGGTTCCACCAAGGTTCCACCAGGGTTTCACCAGCGTTCCACCAGGGGGTCCACGATTTCCACCAGGGTTCCACGCAAGGGCGGGGTGGTCTGGGGTGGTTTGAGGTAAGGTTCCACGAGGTTCCACCATTTTCTTCGAGGGCTGCGGGTTTGAGGAAGGTTTCACAAGGGTTCCGCCAGGGTTCCACCAGGGTTCCAGGCTTCCACGAGGGTCCACCAGGGCTGCAGGGTGTGGTCCGGGGTGGTTTGAGGTAAGGTTCCACAAGGGTTCCACCAGGGTCCCAGCAATTTCTTCGAGGGCTGGGGTGGTCTGCTGAAAAGCCATCGGACCAAGATCGCTTTGCTCATGGGCGGAACACTAAGCAAAACCGAAATCAATGGTTTTTAGCACACTTTCACTGTTTTGTGACTTGCTCACTTGCTCAGGCAAATGTTGGCTTTGTGGCAAATCAGATCACGTCGCTGCGGAACTCACGGTGCAGCAGAGCAAATGCTTGGCATTGCTGCTGGCTTTGGGTTCCAAGAATTCCACGAGGCTGCAAGGGCTATGAGGTCAGAAGGTTTCCGAGGAAAGGTTCCAGCAAAGTTTCACGCTGAGCTCCACGAAAGTTGCGTGAGAACGGTTTGCGAGGTTCACCGGGCCTAGGTCGGGGCCCGCCCGATTGCACCGTTTGGGCCCGATCGGCCCCGATTGCGCCATCGCGCCCCGATCGGGGCCCGACTCAGTCGGGCCCCGTCAATTGTACCAAGCTGGCATTGCCTAGTTTTGCTATAGATACAGTTGCAATCCGCATACTAAGGAAAACCGGCGTTGAGCTATAATATGGGTGGCTGGGGTTGCACCACGGGACGATCGGGCCCCGATCGGGCCCCGATTGCACCGTCGGGCCATCGGGCCCCGATTGCGCCGTCGGGCCCCGATCGGGCCCCGATTGCGCCGTCGGGCCCCGATCGGGGCCCGACTCAGTCGGGCCCCGTCAATTGAACAAAGCTGGCATCGCCTAGTTTTGCTATAGATACAGTTCGGCGTTGAGCTATAATATGGGTGGCTGGGTTGCACCACGGGACGATCGGGGCCCGATTGCACCGTCGGGCCCCGATCGGGCCCCGATTGCACCGTCGGGCCCCGATCGGGCCCCGGCCCCGATCGGGCCCCGATTGCGCCGTCGGGCCCCGATCAGGGCGAGATTGCGCTGTCACTCGTAGATTTGCTTTACAAGGCGGCATCCTCAGCAACACCGGCGGTAAGGATGGTCCCGGGGCGTTCTGCGAGGATTCTGGGAGGGTGTGGTGCTGTTGGGGATATCGCCCGAGCTTATTTATTATTATTACAAAAACTTTGTTTGGTGGTGTTAACAACAAAGGGAAGCCCCACCGTTTTGGGGGGTCTTTTTACAAAACGAGTCACATACCCAAAGGAAACGCCAAAGCCCAGGGGCCCAGCGCGTCCGTCCGTTCCACTTCCCCGGCTGCGGCCTTCGCAGCCGCAAAGAAAGGTGCGGCACCGGTCGAAGAGCACACCTGCCGCGTGTCTTTCCTGTGGAGCTTTTGCTCAAAACGGGGGCCCGGACCCTCCATTCTACCCATAAACAAAGGGAAGTCATCCCCATAATTTTGCGGCGATACCGGGTTCTTAAGGGAATTGTGAGGGTCCAGGTGGCTTTCAACGGACATGGACACCTAAAGCTGAGGGAGTTGTTCCCGTTGGTCTAGCTTGACGACTATTCAACAAGGGGTGGGTCATAACAATCTTGAGAAACCTCCGAGACCAACCAAACACAAAACTGCCTGGATTCCGGTGGACAACTGCCACTGACTTATCGCACATTGCACGAGCCAAACAAAGAGCCCATGAAACAAATCCAGTAGCACCCTCAAATTGCACACCCCGGTGCCAGCTTCGGCGTTGGCAGAACTCCAAGAAGGGAAACGCGGACTCCGCCGTCTACCAGTCGGTCACACGAATACACGAATGGCTGACTGCCAAAGAGAAGCCGCAGCACTTGAAACCATGCGACAAGGGGCCTGAACAGATTTGATATCAAGAGCGACCATTTGTCAACCAGTTGCCAGGTAATAAAGTAGACGCTGGGGCTTCCCCAATCAATTCAATCAGTCCACGCGAAAGAAGAGCCATTGCAACCTTTTATCAGCATGACCTTTACCTGGGCTGTCCAAACTCATCCCCTGCTGAAAGTTTAGCCTTCAGTGGGAGAAATGGACACCCAACCACTAAACCAACAAAAAACCTCAAAAACCTTTGGGGATGGCTGGGAACAACCAGGAAATCCTTGCTCTCATTCAACGCTCACCAGATGGCAACTTCCCCTTGTGAGGCGATACGTGTTTCCACTGACCTCTTTGGCATTCCACTGACTTCCCAAATAACTCCAAAGTAACTCCAAATACATGGCATTTGCTCCAAATATCTGCAACTTCCAGTGGCCTCGCGCGTGCCGAGTCTAAAAACCGACGTGTTCACGCGTCGACGCGTCGCGCGGGCGAAACGCCTGGGCACAGTACCGCAAAGATCAGCGAGGAGATGAGGAGATCCTGCGCCATGCGGTGCCCGTACCTCGGAGCTGCGCAAAAAAGAAAAAGAAAACACGCCACGTATGGCATGGCCGGCCGAACATCCGGAGCCCCTGGATTGAACAGCAATTTTAATTCAAACACATGTTCCGACTATATACTCAGCTCATGTTCGGACTATGTTTACGACTAGATGTTCAACAAGAACGAGTCGCGGCTCCGTTTGCGTGATCCATTCTGGAAGTTTATTATATATGTTCAGGCAACTATATTTCCGACTATGTTGTCAACAGTGTTTTCGACTAAAACTAGATGTTCAACAACTATATACCTCAAACTAGACGTGCAACTCGTTGTAGCTGGGACAATCACCTACTTCCTCAACTCAGGCTGAATGTTCCACCAGTTGGAACATCCACATTCTGCTTTCCCTTCAAAGAGTGGGCCTGAATATGCATGGTTTTGCCTGTCCAACCGTATTTCCAACCCAGAAACACCAACCAAGCGGAACAAGTCGTGGCTCCGTTCGGGTGTTCGATCCCGGCCGAGGTGCAGCCACATCTTGATGCTGGACTTCAGCCAGTCGGGAGGTCCTCCTGCGGTGACGTTTCGCTGAGAGGTGGCCCTGCGGTGCGTCTGTTTGGGGTGGGTGTCGAAAGGAAGGAAACCCCACGTGTTGTTTGGGGTGGAGGGGATGGGGTTCCCTACTCTTGACACATGCACTGAGACCGGCTTGGGGATTCAAAGTTCCGAGCTGAAATGTGTCTAATTCATCTTCGATATCTGCTTTTGCTGCACCCAGAACCACTGGCACTTGAAATCTCTGATCTTCCTCAAATAACACCTCCCATCCTCGCCCCGCGACCCTTCCAGCACCCTCTGGCTGCTTTTCAACATTCATCCCAGGCTTGATCGAAAAGCAGTCCTTGGAGGCCACGCGTGTTGTCAGTTGACTTTAAAGGGGAACCCTCTCAACCAGGAGGGGCACATGTTTTTCTTTGTCAGTTGATGGCAAAAAGAGAACCCGCCCGTCCAAAGCTGGGTGTGTCTTTTTGTGGAGGGTATCCCTGTTTGCTCTGTTTTGAAGGGAAACCAACAGGAACGCCACCACAAATCGTTTTCCAACCTTAAAAAGACGAGCCACCCGGTTGAACAATTTGAAGCACCAAACCACCGGATCCCCCCACGCGCAAGGAAAGCGAGCCTCTCCCCTCCTGATCCCTTGAGGCGGAAGGCGCACTCCACCAGCTCGATGCACAAGGAGAGCAGCGAGAACTTCCTGTGGGTCAAAACCAAGAAGCTATGGGGACGAATATTAAAATACTGGACATAAATAAAAACCCATTTGCGGGTACAAGTGGTTTGAACTTCAGGTATGGGTCAAAATCAAACCAGAAATCAACCCAATATGGACCGCAGGTCTTAGTCCTTGTTTCCATTTACCAGGGTAACCCACTTTTGGAGGTTGCCCTATGTTCGACCGACCTGATTGGCGTTGAGTGAGTCGAATTAGTGAGCACAGGCGCAACAGGGACACCTTGCAATGGGAGGTGTTCCAGGAAACGGAGAAACCGCAATTGGGGCTCCATGTCGAACTGAGTGTTGCTGACTAGAGATTATTCTGGCGTTGGTTGTACATGCCCTACATTCAACAAAACATGCACAACTATCGCAAACAATCGCACTAAGCTATGCCCTGTTGAGCAGCCCCCGACATCACATGACAAAGACAATCAAAGATACAAAGCAAGTGGACTAGATCGAATTTGGCATCATTCGCAAACTGGACATGAGGGTGTTTGTGCTTGGTTCAAGTTTATGTCTTCTGGAAGGGTGGACTTCTATGTTGGTTTTGGGTGCACCTCTATGTTAGTCTGCATTTCTTCATGTTTGACCGCCAGAAGGGATCAACCGTGTCCCCGGAAGCAAAAAGCATCTAGTGATCTCCCCTGCAAGCAACCATCTTTGTGAGCTTGTGTAAGCCTCCACAGGATTGGGCTGGATACGGCTGGATCCCGCATGGGTCTGGGTCTTGCTCCGAACCTAATGGTAGTGGCTGCTGCCTAATACTTGTTATTGGTCATTTACAGTAACATTTATTTCTTATTTGTACAGCCGCATGACAACTTCGGAACTTAATGAGCAGAGGAGCCTGTGATTTTTGACTGGGGACGCTATGGTGGACATCATTTTGGTGGGGATTCATGTCCACTGGCCATGTCCGAGGTGATCATTGAAGGTCATGGCCAAATGAAGCCAGCTTTCCTGGTGAGACGGGGGGGGAGGTCCTAAAGTTCCTAAAGCGGGGGCGGATCTTGGGCATTCGAGCCGGGCGTCAGCAGCAGACCCACGCAGAAGGATTTCCACCAGCTCAAGGCAACGAGCTTCCAGAGGTACATCAGGCACTCTGCCTTTGTTGGTGAAAAAAACAACATGTGGTGATGCTGTGGCTTCCTTTTGATCAATCCCCAGAAAGGGAAGCTTCAAAACGAGTTAGCCTCCCTAAACCAAGTTTAATATCATATTTCAAGGAAAACCTTCCCCACATACTCCATGTAGGTACATCAGGCACTCCGCCTTTCTTGGAAAAACAGACATACAGCTCCAAGAAAACTGGATTGTTTCTTCTTCTTCTTTTTCTTCTTCTTCTTCCTATTATTATTCTTCCTTTTTTCGGGGTGGGAGGGGGGGACGGGGAAACCAACATTTTTGTTCATCCTATTCTTTTTTGTGCATTTTTTCTTCGAGGGGCGGACCTGCAAACATGTCTGTCTGGAGGAATCTCGGTGGCCCGACAAAAGGGGCTCCACGTGAAAATGAGTGCAGAAAGCAAGAGGTCCCATCGTGTGTCCGCTATAACATTGTTTATGAGCACCCTGCCTTCCGACCTTTGCGACATCTATAAAACTTGCCCAGCTGGGTCTCCGATGATATTTTCCACGTCACATCCTTTCTGTGATTGAGTAGCATTGTCTCCAAATTGGGAAGGGAACCTACAAGTGGTTTCCTTTGGTTTCGCTTTCAAACAGCCCTGAAAGCGGTTGTATCTCAAAAGAACTGGTTGGTTGGTGTCCACTGAAGTACCAAAGCCTTCCTTGAAAACAAAAAAACAGCCGTTGAACGTCATTCAAAGTTATTGTGCAAGCCCAAGCCCCCAAATCCGTTTGCTGTGGCTTCTTTCTGATCAATCACGGAAAGGGTACTTTCCAAAAGGGCGCGCCTCCCGAAACCGCGTTGAATATCAGATTTCCACCAAATGCCTTCCCCACATGCTCCACCAAGGCAATGCATGCCAACATGTGGCCCCGGGTAAATGTGTTTTGGGCGGCTTCTTTTTATTGAGGGCGCCCTTTGGTTGGTTAAGGGAAAAGGGGAAACCGAAATCGCTGTTGGGGCTCCATTTCCTATGTTAAGACACACGAATATGGAGCTAAGCTCCCTAAAAGCGACCAGGGGTGGAAGATTCCGAGGCTGCAAGTGAGAACCCCCATGGTTGCAAACGGAAACATCAAACTCGAATGTCACTTGACATCGGATCCATCCCGTCCTCCACCTGTGTCTTTCTTTCTTCTCAAACAACCAATCTTCACCCTGACTGCTTTGATCTAATCCATAATACATGCTCAAACGCGGTCCAATGCAAAAAAACAAAACAAAGATTCCGTCTACCTCTCCTTGTACACTTCACCAACAAAGGCAGCTCAAGCAATGTGGGGAGCCAACACGTTAAATATGTTGGTAAACCAATATCAGGAGAAACATCGGGATCTCCGAGCCTTCAACAGTGCGAGCTGGGCCAAACTTGAATAAATAAGGATCCTTTGGTGGACATCATTTGGCAGCGATTCATGTCCACCGAGCACTTTTGAGGCGTTTTGAGGCGGTTCCCCAGAAAAGTAACGTTGCTTCTTCTGTTTTGGTTGTTGTCATGTTGTTTCCGGTGGGGGGGGGGGGGCGGGGTGAGGACATAAATACACCGAAAGTCCCACGCAAAAGCCCAAGGCCATGAGCAAAAATGTCTCAGGGTCCCCGGACGATATGTCCAATCCTCGAACATCGTCAACCACCCAAAGGAAACGCTAAGTACGTGCATCCACATTTGGTGTCATGTCAAAAAAAATGGGAACCCCATAAACAAAACAAATAAACAAGAGTGGCGTCCCTTGTACAAAGCAGGGTGGTCCTTTTGACAACTTGTTGCGGCTTAGCTTGGCATACATCCATGAGGAAACCTGCACTTTGCACTTCATGCATGCGTCGAACAAGTCTAAAGAGGGCCAGATGGGAAAAGCCCCTAAAATATGTCTACTCTCTGCAACTGCCAGACTCGGCAAGCAGGATGCTCCGAATCCCATGTTGAGAAACACCCATCTGGGTGTGGTTCCTTTTTGCGGGTACCCTTTTGGGGTGGTTCCAAATCAAAACCAGAGGCACACCAAGTCCTTTAGCGGAGTTCCAAGCCTTGGTAAGGCACGCAGCTCGGGTTCCAATGTTCCCAGAGAAAAGCGTTTTTTTGTCTCAAAGGAGCTGTGTCCAGCAAGACCACCACCAAGGCGGCCCAGCCCAATTGGAGCTCCTGCCGGGTGCCGGAATGGCAGAATGGCACGCCAGTAGCTGGATTTGAGTCACTTGCTCAAAACCCGGGTACTAACTTGGTCGGAATCCCAGAACCATGCTTCAAGAACTAAGAGGGATATCAGCAATTTCGGGTTGGGATCGTCCTAAGCTTCATCTACCCGGGTTGTGATTGTGGCTCAATTGGATCTTCATTCGGGGCCCCATCATTTCAACAATTCGGCGGGGACCAACCACATGTGAGGTGGTTCCGTTTTAGAGCTTATAGCCATTAGGGCTCATCTCCAAACTAGGGAGCCTTTTTGGTCTGCCCTTGATACCCACCAAAAGGGGTCCCGCCAACAAAACAACACACCCATGTAAGGGCTATATGTGAGGGGTATGCTTTTGGAGCGCGCAAGGAAAAGCATGTATATTCATTCCCCTTGCTGGTCTTCCCGAATTGAGGCCAAACATGACATGTAGACACCCCAAAGTGTGCTGTCGCCCGAATGTGCATAGTGTGGCCCACCCTCTAATATTCCAAACCAACCAAACAAAATCATCTGCTACACTAGATTGTCCAGGGTTCAAGCCCCCATGACTGTTTTTTTTGCCAATTTAGATGATCACATCTGCCCAGAAATCGTCCTTGAGCCATGTTTGCTTTCCGGGCCAACCGAAGGGGCCTTCGAAACGCCTCGTGGGCGACAAAAGCAGCGGCCGAAGCGAGCGAACCGGAGAGCCTCGCCATGGCCCAGACACCCCGAGGCGCGCAGCACCGGGGGCAGGATCTCAGACGATGGGAGTTGGTCGCTATCCGGTGTTCTTCGGTGGTTTTCAGGGGATTGGTAGGGTCCAAGCTAACTGGGAAGCCGATTTGCCGAATCCATGTGGAAATTTGAGGGGATTGATAAATGGGTCCAAGCTTTCTACTACTTACCACCAAAATGGTCCAAAACCGAGGAAGTATAGCTCAGTCGCCCAAAGGACCCGGAACAACAAGTTCACTCTTTGGGGCCATGACCAAAAGATGGACCAAGGGGGAACCGAAAGGTTATTCGGTCAATTCGCTTTGGGCGAGATACCAAATCTACGCACCGTCTCATTTTTCTGTTGCCGTCCAAACCCGAAAAGGTCTGAAGTCCATGAGCTCAAGCGAGTTTACCCTAAGATCCTCAGCCTATTTCGAGACATACCTGGAGCCCGAAACATCCGTTTTTAAACAGTCGAAAGAACATCCATCATCAGTTCCGGTCGTTTGCTGCAGTTCCGGCCGTTTGGCCTGATCACCATTTTCTGTATTTTGTGTAGGGCATATCTTTTTCAGCCTCGATTGACTTGCGTCTCCGCAATGCAAGACTGGCACCAACCCTGCCCGGCCAACCCGTCAGCGCAGCAGTCTGAAATGCACTGATCCCTTTGTTTTCTCTTCTAGGCTTTCTTGCAAAAGGGAGAAAGGCATGGAGAAGGGGGCTGTGCGAGTTGCACACTTTCAAAACCCTTCGCTTTCCAATCTTTACAAAGGAGGCTTCTGCTGGTAAAAAGGAGTGGTCGCCCCAATGGCCCCATCCAAAAGCAACCGAAAACCCATCAATTCAGAAACAGTCGTTTGCACGGACGGTTCTGGTTGTTGCACGCCCGGTTCTGGATGTTTCCTGCACCAATATGGGTGTGCCGTTTTTTGTTTTTTGTTTTCTCGGGTACTCCCTTTTCGTGGTCTAGGAATACCCAAGTGGACCACCACTACTCTGGGCCTCGACTTCGCGGGCAAGGCGCCAGGCACGCCAGGATGGACAGGCCGATGGGCGGCAGGGCGCTGATCATGGTGGTCATAAAGGACCGCACTCCGCCTGCCACTGACATCGAGATATCGAGACTTTTCCCCAGCAGCCGTGGAAAAAACCGGGGCACCGGGGCAGTTTGCCCCCCAGTGGCCGTGGAGACAAACCGGGGCGCCGTTTCATTTGTCTTTGGCGGTTTTGGACAGGTTGCAACTCTGGAGGTCTGGGTAAAGATCTCGAGCTTGGACCAGAACACCAGGGCGCGTCGCTTTTTGTTTGAGGGTCAGGGAAACCCAAAGGACAAACGAGACCCATTTTGGGGGTTGCCCTAAAAAGGCTCACCCGTACTGCCACCGACCAGAAACGCGCATAGTTTGGGAATGGCCGCTAAGATCCTTCAAACTAATCCAAATCGCGAGGGAGGCATTTGCGCAAATGACTCGTGGTCCCCGACTGGCCGTTACGTTTGACGGCAAAACCAAAAAGAACACCCACCATTATATCCCCTGACACATATTCTCGGGGGGAAAAAAACTCGCCCATTGCCATGGGTTGCGCCACGCCCGGCAAAGGACAGAGCCTCACGGGTTTTCAAACGAGCCGGCAAACCGCTGTTTGCTAGCTGAAAGTTTCAAACAAACAACAGCTGGTCTGGGCCCAGTTTGGGGGCCCAACTGGGAAAATCCTATGGACAACCTTCGACTCAACTGTTGGGTTTTCTGGAAAGTCATGGAAACTCATTCTGAAGTGGGATGCTAAAAAGCCACCGAAGGGGGGAGAATTTGGGGAACCCAGAAGGGAAGATGGGCGAAACTCAAGCCAGGTGGAGTCCGGCAAGTTGGTTGCGCCTTCGAAGATCACCGAGAGCATGTGAACCTGCCCAAATCATTGGAGTGGGGTAGGAGTAACCTACCTCTTACACCCAATACCCTCTTTTTTGAGGGTATCATGTCGACCCTCTACTCACAAAGGAGGTGTTTACCACGGAAACCCAGGCTTCTCAAAAAATACCCTTAAAAAAGTGTGTATTTCAAGTAGGGGGTAGACTTTGCTTGAGCCTCTTACACTACTCCCCTACAAATTCGCATGAGCCATGTCCTAAACGTGTCATGATTTGCTATGTCGTATCATTTGGCTTATGCGACACATTTGGAGGTTTTGCCACCTTACGCGCGCGGAGCCGAGTCTTGCTTGCGACACAGGTCGATATGCCGCCACTCTTGCTAAACATGTATGCAAAGAGGTTTTGGACGCTGCTCACATGAAACACGAACAGCGGGACCTCTACAAGGAGACTCCTCTATGCTTCTTTAAACTCGGGATCCCTTTGGGTGCGCGCTTTTCAACACAAAGGAAACCAACCTGCTGGAGGAATCGGTCCCTACATCTCAGAAGCCTCATGCTTCTGGGGTTCCAGGTTTAGACCCATTCAGAGAATCGCTGGCTGACCCAATTAGAGCTAGGTCCTCTCGTAGAGAGGCTTAAAAAAAAGGGTACCAACTTTTTTCTCTGGTCGATTTTAGTAGGGGAACCCGTGCGGCCCTAGGAAAAGGACCGGGAGGAGTGGCACTTCAGCTATTCCGATTTATGAACTCCTGGTTGAACTTCATTGAGGAGTCACTCTCCTTTTGGTGAAGCTTCATCACTTTGGGACAGGAACACCCCCAAAGTGAATAGGGACGGGTCTATGAATCCGGGGTCGACGGCAACGGCTGAGATCTTCCATAAGTTCGACCCCTCCGAATGGATGGTGCAAGTTGTTGTGCGTTCCTCAGCGTGCAGAAAGGGGACCAGTCCGGTGGCCCTACAAAAAATGGGCACCTTTCTTCCGGGGGGTCGTTGGTTTTAAGGGGCCCAAGCCCCCCTCCACACCAAAACAAAAACGGGGACCAGGGCAGCACCAGGCTCCGGTCTGGGACCGCCAGGCATGGCCTCCGCCGCTTTTTGCGCGAGTAGCCAGCCTTCTGGTTGAGGATGGTGTACCAGCAGCCGATGAAGAAGGCCCGCTTCAACACCTGAAGCCAGCGAGGCAAAATGGGTACGACATCCTCCCTGCTGTAGGGGGGGAGCGGGGTGGGGAAAAGCCCCCAATTCCATTTATCTAGTCTTCCCAACAAAAGGGAAAATGGAACCAGAAATGGATTTCCAGGGGTCACCCCCCTCCCCCAATTCCGTTTTTAAGGGGGTGGGGATGGTACGACCAGGGGTGTGAATAAGTCTGTCCTTCGGCTTTTCAAGGGCAGTTGAGCACGCACCAGACACCCCCGAGGACAAGGTGCTGTCGCGTTCGAACCCTATCTCCAGATAATCTGATTCCAGGGTACAAAGCGGTTGAGAAGAAAAGACAACGCTTCCCAGGGCTCTCCCCTGCACACCTTGAGTCCAAAGTTGGGTCCGAAATTGGGTTCAACCCTCCTTTTGGGTCCAAAGTTGGGTCCAAAGACCATGTTTTTGTTGTTTACCCTCTGTCCTGACAAATGAAAGACGGAAAAGAAAAGGCATCATAATTCTAAAATATAAATTATGGCTCTTCTTTAATATAATTTTCATAATTCATGGAGGATGGAGGAAGTTGGGTTAGGAATCTTCTATCGTTTACCGCGAGAGACGGAAGGTCGTGAACTTCCCTAACAACATGAAATCCTTCTAATTACCTGCCTTTCTGATGTCCAAGAATGATAGAAAAGAAAAATACCAAGGCATAGATGGCACCAAACAATACAAGGTAAAGAGAAGATGAACCGACATGAAGGTGCCATCATAATCCTTTTGTAGGAGCTCTTGGGATTCAAGAACCTGCTATCCTTGGCGAGCCACAAATCAAGGGTTAACCACTGGTGGCGAGGGAAGGAAGGGATAACAACCATCACACTCTTCCTTCCCCATCTCCATCTTCTCATCCCGCAAGGTCATGGGCCCACGGAAAGTAGAGGACTCTTCTGACCATTGGCACTGGGCTCTAACGACCTTTCGCCAGACAGAAAGCCCGCAAATATGGAGTACACAAGTGGTAGATGGTAATAAAGCCCGAAAAAGGCCGTAGTTGTGATATGCCTGCTCTGGTCTGTGGGAGAAATCTTGAATAGAACAATATTGTTGGTTTTGGTGGAGTGGCACTATAGTGATTATGAAGCTCCAGAAACAAAATATGTCGAAGGGGACCCAGCCCCTTCCAAGATGGAATGGGCCCATGTGTCGTTTCGTACAGCAATATCCCTGGTCTTCCAAGGACCCTGAAAAAAGGTGTCCTTCTTGTTCTTCCTCTTGGTCTAGCATGAAGAATCAGCCAAAGGCCTGTATTGTCAGGGTTCTAGCAGATATAGTTGGATCATGGGAACCACTTCAGCATTGGGAGTGGTTGATAGCTCAACTATCATACACAATATGTAGAATACATGTATAGAGATCCATATGTGACGGTTGTCTAAAATTCCTTGATCCGGACACCGCCATCTTCGCGAGCAACACATGACTTTCGCGGACCCCATCGCGGAACTTGCGCAGGGCTGCTGTTAATGAACTTTCGCGGGGCTGTACGTATTACGTAGATGATGAACATGTCCTAGCCCAAGTCGGCGCCTCGATGCCAGAGCCGCGGAGGCCGGAGCCCACCTTGAGGCGGGTGGCGAGGTACCAGGCGCGCCAGTAGGCGCCTGGCAGGTGGGATGGGAGGGTTGGTGGGGGGGTGGAGAGAGGGGGGCAGGGGGGGAGGGGGTGGGAGGGTTGGGGAGGTGGGGGGATGGGAAGTTGGGAAGTTGGGGGAGTGGGAGGGTTGGTGGGCGGGGGGGGGGAAGTTAGGAAGTTGGGAAGTTGGGGTGTGGGGGAGTGGGAGTTTCGGGAGTTTCGGGGGGAGACTTGAGGGGAGGTTCAGGGGAAGCGGTTTTGGTAAGGTGAGGTGAGGTGCCGCTTGCATGCCCAACAAGAGCGCTAAATGCAAAACCTGAACAACACACCTGGACACGCAAATGCGGTGGGTTCCCTGAGGATTCCAAGTCAACCAACCCCCACATCCAATCACAACACAGTGACTTGTGGTAAGGCAAAGGGTTGCTGTCTGCCCGCTTGCCATATTTACACTATCCACCGACGGCAAACACACGGTCATCTCTTGTCAAACACTGAGTTGTGCCTACAAATGTCAAGGGGTTAAATCTGCAAGGATTACAATTATAACGCGGAACCTTCTTCAAAAATAATTAGCCAGGGCTCCAACAATGATATAGCACAAGCGCAACTTATTCAGCCTGGTTCCAGTCGAGCGCTGATCACCCATTAAGCTTTGGTTCTATCAGGCTGGTTACAAAGTGTCTTCTCTTTTATTTTAATGGCAGGCCTCACTATAATCTGCCCTGCGCACTTGAGCAAAAGGTTGATCGCCTTTTGTAGGTTTCATGGAAAACGCCTTTTGCTTCCACAAGATCTCTCCGGGCCGATTGGTCACACCAACGATTGCTTTAACGCATTTTGACAATTTGAACAGCGCCGCCTCTGTAGGGAAATGCGGTGAATGCTCCCAGCCGTCATCCCCTGTGCCACAGATTCTCAATATTCACTGTTCCAATGAGCTCGGTGACAAGCCTCTCCAACATTCAGTTTTCCCCGACAGCTGGAAGCTTTGGGGTCTCAGCCCAGATAGGCTTCGGGGTGGTCCGGGGCGGCCCTGAGGTAAGGTTCCACCAGTGTTCCACCAGGGTTCCACCAGGGTTCCACCAGGTTCTGCGGGGTGGTGCGAGCACTAAAAAGAGCACCGCATGCTGGGGATATCACATGAGCTTATTTCCTACTTTGTGGTTTCGCTCGGTTTTGAGGTGTGTGGGGATCCATGAAACAAAGCTACCTTCCCAACAACCAACATAGCAGCTGTGGGAACCTGGAAACTCGATTTCCTTCTTGAAAGGACCGGACCCGTGTCAGCCATGTTAGTCGGAGGGAGGGTAGTAGAACCAAGTCACGTGGCTGCTGAGAACCGCATTTCAGGGCGATTGGCACCCTGTGCCCTTTCGCCTCGCTGTGCGAAGAAGAAATCCTGCCACTCCTTGACGTCGGACATGAAGTGGCTATGGGCAAACCTGGGACCCAACACCCAGACCGGCGGCGCTAGGGACAAATTTGCCCCCTTGATTTGGTGTGGCTTTGGGGGAGAACCACTGCAGCAGTCTTTTGGGGATCTCCTCATTTTGAGCAAACAACTCCGGATGCTTAAAGCTAGACGGGCGATCTACAGACCAGATCGGAAGCAAGTTGGAGGACCGCAAGAGGACCCGGCCACCTTTCACACCTGGTTTGGGCATCGTTTCGAGCTTCGGATCAACCCTCACCGTTTAAAACAAACGCCTCGTGAAACAATTGTGCCAATTGCCGGGACACAAAGAGGTGAAACAGGAGACATATGATTTGTTGATATGTGTTGCTCGCTGCCTTCTTTTGTTTACGCAGAGTAGGTTTGCCTTTTTGCCTCCCGAAAGAGAAGGGGAGATCCTCAGTCTTCCAAGGCGCTGGTAGGGGTTGAAGATGAAGGGTGCCAGCATCCAAGAGCCTAAGGCGATGTCTCATCCGGAGAAGCCCTAAGAATCCCCAGCCAATCCTGGGATGTTGGCATTCAAACGATGAGGTCCGGGGGAAAAACCCCTCAAGGATTCGACCTGTTGGTTCCTGCTTGACGAAGCTGGGAAATAGGAAGGCGACTCAGCCGAAAGAATCAAGGTTCGGGACATAAGGCCAATGGGTCTTGTGGACTAGTTCTTGCAAAGGCTCCAGCAGCTGCCTAGGTATTGGTGGGAGATAGGAAGAAAAGGTCAAACTTCAGAACGCAAGGCCGCTCCCACAGCAGCCCCGCAGTATGGTTGGTGTCCTCTTTGGTCTCCCATTCCCATCTAGGTCCCCCACTAGAGAGGTTAGAATAAGGGTGCCCTTTTTTCTGTAGTCTATTTTTGTAGGGGACCCCTCCCCCAAAAAAGTTGTTAAAAGGGCGCTCCAGCCCTCCAAAAGGGGTCCCTTCTTTTGTTCCATCTCCGACAAGCCCTCCATCGAGCAGCAGATGGTGAGCCCCAAGGCCAAGAGCCACCAGTAGAGGGACTGCTCCACCGCCAGGCCCCCTGGCGTTGGCATCCACGAAGTCGGTCCGGGGGTGTCCACGCGGGGTCTGGGGGTCCAGGGATGAGTGTTCCAAAATCATGGGGTCCATTCCCGGACTCTCAAAGTTCCCCTTCGCATAAAAGGGGGGGAATCAACATCCAATGTGGAAAGGCTTTGAGGGTCCAGGAAGTCATGGAACATCACTGTGATTCCAAAGTAACTCGGACGTACCCTTGACTTTGCTGCACTTCAAAGTGGTTCCATCTCAAACCAAAGGTTCCACCGCTTTGGGCCCTCGAAAGCTTAGCCGTACCCGAATCGAGGGCTTGTAATTTGACGTTTCATCCGCTGGAGGAACCCTTTCTAATTGCCCAGGCAATTGCGGTAGCCAGAACCCTAAAAAAAGGGACCCTTCAAGTTGTTGTTATTTAGTGGGGAACCGAACCCACTTGTTTTGGTTGGGTAAAAGCTATGGTCCCTGTACTGTGCCCTCGTGCTGGCGTCTTGCCGCCTTTTCAAAAAGGGGACACCGACCAAAGGGGCAATCTACTATTGACACGCACCTTCATGAACTCCAGAACACCATCAAACACCCCGTGGCATCGGCAAATCAGGAAGGATGTATGAAAAGAGGACCAAGCCCAAGCTCTCTGCATGGATTACTCGAATATTTCACTCAACGGAATTCAGGCATCCTTCAGCGCTGGGTTGGGTGACCTTGTCTTACATCCGCTAGCTGTCTCATGTTTTTTGGCTTGCCAAATACAGCCCTTACCATATTCATACATAAAAATGATTGAATTCAGACTGTCAGATCCCTGGGAGCTCGATCTACCCGCCTGTTCACTAGCATGGACCCAAACTGACGGGTCCTGGAACACGATTTTCCTATACAGGGACTCGACAATGTCTCTGGTGGGTTCCATGCCAAAGTGGACAGGAGGGCAACATATTGTTTTCCGCCGCTTTTGCACCTAACGCCCAACTTGGAAACCTTTGGCGCCCGCCGGCAGTGCGGCGGTCGCTGCGTTTCTGGCTTGAAACACAGCGACCGGCGCACCGGCGAAGCAACGAAGCGCGAGCTATGCACCTTGGGCTGTCTACGGGGCTGTCCTTTCTTCCCTGCGGAGTGTTTGAGGCACTGTGCTCCCTTTGCTTGTGGTTGAGCGAAACCAAAAGGACGACTACAATTTTCCAGGGGTCCTAAGAAAAGACGTTCCACCCACCTTTTTGAACAAGTCCCTGAACTGTGCCATATGTTGAGAAGTTCGGAAACTGAACTTAAACGTCAGAGGGCAACTCCACTCGTTGAAGAAAGGACGCCCCTTGCCTTTGGCCAAAACTTCGGCTGTGAGGTCTTGGGTAGGTATCTGGACCCTCGACAGAAAATGGTCTCGAAAACTCATGGGGATTCATTTGGGGCAACAGACTCCCCATGTTTTTTTTTGTTTTTTCCTTTTCGGGTAGGCTGAAGGTCAGGTCGCCTTTTACGCGTAGTTAAACAAAAACGCCAGCCGTCTCTCTTTTGGGGGTGTCCTCCATTTGCAGGCAAACCCACGAAAATGGCGTCGCCCTTGCTGTCCATCTTGTCCAAGTCGAACTCCGGGGGTGATCTAGTGATCAACGTGGCTATAAGTGGAATAGACACATAGTCTATCATTATGACTGACGCTTGTAGCCAACCATTGGAAGCATGGAAATAATTATTTTAGCAAGATGGTTGTGAGTTTTGTGAAAGAGACTCTATCATATCAATTGTGTCTAAATTCAACGGAAGTAGAATCAGCTGAAGGGTCGCTAGAATCAAAAGGAACCGACTTTCCCCTGCAGCTTGCCGTCATCTCGGACCCGAAGGGTGTCCAGCACTCAAAACCAACATGTCGATGCGGAGAACCAAACAGCACCAGGCCGCCAGCGATTTCTCATTTGGATGTGGCTCAAAATTAAACAGGAGGGGCAAACCGCAGGTTGTGGTCCATGTTTCCACTTACCAGGGTTCCAGTTTGGTACCGGCATTTTGAGCCACATCCATTCGGGCTTGTCTCAAATTAAGAATCAATATTTACCCCCCTGGCCCTCCCGAAAGAGAAAGAAGTACGTGTCCCTTTGCTTTCCCGATTAAGGAACAACCCAAAACAGGGTACCCTCGACACATCCATTTGGTAGAAAGTCGTTCTCACAATCCCATGCTCACACGCCGCCAATCCCAATTGCGACTGTTCCCGCGAAGCCGTGGCAGAAACTTCTGCAATCAGAGAGCCAGACAAGCTCGAACTGGATATCTTCAAACAACCAAATTGTATCCAATGAGCAGCGCCCAAAACCCGGTGACATTGGGTTCTACCAAAATGGCTGTTTGTATAGCATTTCTTTCATCCCCAGAAAACTCGATAGTACAGCCAGCTACTATTTTTGGCCATCGAAAGGCTTTGGGCGCTGAACACACGCGACAGATTCGGAATCTCTGATTCTCTGCTTGTCCATGGCTGGCAGCAGGACTTGTTCCTCACTGGCCATGGGCGAAAAGATCGAGTAACCCCTCTGCGAATCACGGGCAGCCGCGCATGGGCATCCGCCCACTTCCATGGAACCCGACAAAAGCATCGGGAACAAGTCGGACACCTCTTGATCTTTTGTTGGAAACCAGGTTGTGCGTAATGCGAGAGGAAACATGTACCGTCTGTTAGCGCCATATTGTAGGGTACACATATCATATGTTCTGAAACAATAATCATACGTGATGTTTCTATAATGGCCTAACTTGGCTTCAATTTGGCCCTTAGCCCACACGCACATTCACTACTAGAGCCCTTACTCCCCGGCAATTGGACGTAGCTCAACAAAAGAGTCCCAACATAATTTTCCCCGAGAAATGGCGAAATTTTGGGTTCCTGTCGTTCATCTGCAGGGGATAGTAATAGCCCAAGAAACAAACCAACGTCAGGTTCAGGGGTGCAAGGTCACGCGTCGACTGAAGGCTCCCGTGGCTCCAAATTTGTGTATGCCTCGAATCAAGGGAAAACCCGCGTCTCACCCAAAAAGCGTTGTGCTTCAAGGACAACCAAATGGAACCCACCTGAGCGACTCTATAAACCTCCCATGAATCCCTATGTCGTATCAAGTTGCTTACGCGCGAGCTTGCGCTTTCCTTACGCGACCCATGTTTAGCTTACGCGGCAGTCAGCGAGCATGTTAAGCTTACGCATGACTTACGCGTGGGCGTTCTGAGCGTTTCCCCTCAAGAATTGCTTACGCGAGCTCCTCTTCTCATGCAGAGGACGAAGAACTACCCTTACGAGTCTCAGCGGCTTGGCATTGTTGCTATTGCTGCAAGTCAAGAAACGGGTTATGCGGCAGCGGCATCCATCGCGAGGGCTAGCGGGCAGCCCAGCTAGGCGAGCTTACGCGGACCTTACGCGCCTGCTTACGCGAGCTTACGCGCCCGAGCCCCTTTAGTTTTCCTAGAGCAGCGGTTTCAGAAGCCTTTGTTTGTCCTAGTCAAGGTTGCAACAGCACCTGGCATGAGCCCCAAGAGCTCCCAATCAAGGTTCTGCTGGTTTGTTTTCTTATTGATGTGCACAAGCGGTCTTAGACGACTTCCTGCAGCCAAAGTCTCCGGGCATGCAACAGCACAAGCCACCAATAATCTCATAAGCACAGCTCTTCCGAGCATGCTTACAAAGCTTACCAAGCAATCACGAAGAAGAGCTTACGCAGGTGCTTACGCAGCTTGTTTCCCCAAAAAGTGCTTACGCCGGCTTACGCCTTGCAGGGTTTTGCTTACGCGGCGCCTTGTTATGACACAACTCTTGCTTGGGATGTAACGGGGGGTTTTTAGAGCTGCTCACCTGTCTGAGGGACTCCCATTGAGAGACAAAGCCTAGAAACTGTTCCGCATCAATTTTCCGCTCCGGGTTCCATGTACCATTTGGGCAAAGAAGCAGGCCAATAGGCCAGTCCATCTAAATGGTGATGCGGTGAATCTGCGGATCCACCCCTGTAGAATATCTCTGAAAGACTAAGAAAGAACAACGGGGATAGGAAACAAGAACGGGTGGAATCCACAACCAGCGCCTCCAAACAGCTAGAGTCAAGGCTGGTCAAAATGCACTGAGTTCAGCGGCTTTTGGTCCCAGCAATCAAAAGACTCGGAGACGCAGTAGGTAGCCACCACCGTAATGCCCGCAAGGGACAAGGTCCATTCCAAGATCACCTCAGCGAACCCTCAAATGTGTCAAGGAAACCACAAGAAACGTGCAAAGAACAAACACAAGCAGCAAGCAACATCAAAAGACGACACCAAACGAAACATGACAGCAAACAACAAGAACAAACACCTCATGCAACAAGTGCTTAACTGTCAACTGCGCAACAAAGAAGTCAAACAATGCTCGCTAGCCCAAGAGGTAGGGAACCAGCCCTTCTTTCGGGCCTTTCAAGAAAAGTCCGCTTCCCCCTATTTGATTTGGGATTACCCTCCCACCCATTAACTTGGAACCTGTCTTCCACAACCCCCCTGTCTGGTTCCATGCTACTTGGTGGCTTGGGTTTGGGATTCGTTTGGAGGTTACTTTGGAGCTTTGCCCTTACATTTTGTTGGGGTCTACCTGAAAGGGATTTACCGCTGAACCGCTGGGCAAGCGCATATGTTCTGCTCTCCTGGACCCTCAAACTACCCAGTAAAAACTTGCCGGTGCTCAGCAGGGCATGAGGGAAGGGCCCGTAAAAACCATCCCTTGTGGTTTCCTTTACAGGGACCCCCAAGTTCATTCCCTCGTTCCTTACTGAGCACCAGCAAGAAAGGGGAAGACACCCATAGTTTGGAGCAATACCCCAAAGGCTTTAGGCTAGCTTTAGAAAATCTAGGGGTACCTTCCCCATTCTTTCCAGGGATCCTTCTTTCTACAACACCTCCAGAATCCCAGAGAAAACGGCTGGTTGTTGAAAAGAACAACCTAGAAGTTTCAGGGTCCAGGCCGCTTTTGTTCTTTCCTGCCAAAGGCGCCATGACCAGGGAGCC